GGACTTTCCCCATAAACTTTGTTATAATTGGTGGTTTGAGTCCATATTACCATAGTTATATTAAGAAGTAAATTGATTTTGCAGACTGAGCTGGGAATTTCACCACCATTTGTACCATGGTCTCTGTGGGAAAATACATTCTGTGTTTTGAACAATTGACCTTTTGGAGTTGATCCAGTTCCTAAGTTGGGGACAGCATGTACAATATTATGTTACATTTTGGGCTTCATTTGTATGTCTTAGAATCAAAGACTTGTTAGAGCTGGAAGAAACTTTGGATATCATTTATTAAGGGAGACATTTTGTAGGTGATGTAGCCAAGATTCAGAAAGAGATTTGTCTAAGGTTTTTCAGCTACTTTGGTCTCCCATCTCTAAGTCAATGCTTTTCCCCACTATCCAAATCATTTTGTGGTCATTTTCCCACAGAGTCATTAAATTACTTGAAAGTTGGGATGTCATGTCTTCTTCAGCACAGACTCAAACACTCTTAAGTGTTTCATAAATACTTAATTGGTTCATTATTCATTTTGCTTTAGAGGTCTATTCACTGTAAGATTTCTTTAAATAACAAGTACCACAGGGCATTTCAATTAAGAATTTATTTATAGTACACTGGATCTGCTTTAAAGCAAGGATTTAAATAATAATTCATAAATATTCTATTCAACCAGTGTTTTCTACATAAAAGGACATATTGGTGTTGGATGTAAGCCTGGTGAATACTTTTCGCAGCCCACAGATACATTTGGTTTAGTTTTAGGTGATATATGCTATTGATTTTAATGTGGTCTTACACTTTGTGAGAAGCTACTCATTTTATAACTACATTAGAAAACTTAATGCTTTCTTTGTCTTATTTACCAAAACCAATCAAAATGGAGATTTATGAAATTATTCAGAAATAAATCTCCAAGTAAAAAGGTGAATCATACATAATTTGGATATATTATATGAAAAGAGAGCAACTATCATTAGAAACAAAATATTTACAGTAAATTGTTTTATTTGAAACAAAGATTCGTATTTTGTATACTTTTCTTCACCAACAAGCAATTATCAGTTATTTCCTCATATCTTGTTTGAATGAACAGGATGGGAGGGCATTGAAAGAGAAACATTTTTATATATGTAGAGGACATGGTTTTGTTGTAACAAACTAGGACTGACCTAAATAGACAACTGGCCCTGTAATCTAATTACAAGAAAAAAGAAGGGCCACAGATCAACTCTTCAACAATTAAATAGTCATTATTTATGGGAGCTGTTCATCCAACTTTAATTGCCTTATGGTTAAACAGTTCTAAAATAGCCAGTTAACTCCTTCAATTACTAGGCATTTCTTTTGCAATCAGTTTATCTTGAAGGATATACTAGAGAGTTAGTTTAAGATAAAATGGTCCACTAAGAATGTGTGTGTGTGTGTGTGTGTGTGTGTTGGAGGTATAGGGAAGGTAACTGGCTAAGGACAGGGAAAGAGGTATTTGGTTATATTTGTTTTATAATTTTTAGGCTAAAATGGTCAGGACATGCCTTATGGCTTAGCTGATAACTTTGGCACCGTGATTATTCTCTCATATGTATGCAGAAGTAAAACCAAAACCAAATCTCAAGGAAACATTGTGGCCCTGCCTGGGTGTGCCACCAAGGCCTGGCTCTGTATTGAGAGGGGTGGCTCCCTATTATTGTACGTGTCATTGTCTGGTCTTTCAATTTTCTTGAATTGAGCTGACTACAAAAGCCTATAACATTTGGTATAAAGAATGGCTGTCCTCCAGGCAGACCTAGTCAAATTTAAACTTATTGCTACTCAAGGCTTATTAAAGACTTGACTGAGGGGAATAACCTTTATGGAAAGACAGCCCAATGAATGTCAATTTGTTCATTTAAAAGGCATCTTGCATTAAGTCAGGGCAGCAAAGAGCTGTATATCATGAGCTCCACATTTTGCTACCTAAATGTTCACACCATACTGCCTATTGGCCAATACTGAGAAGCATATAAGAAAAACAACCCTATGAAAATCTTCACTGTGTTTTCTAAAAGGAGTCACAAGTGCCTTCTGTGAGGACAATCCATAGGGACATGTCTATGGTCTCAACACAGTGATGGTTGGGTTCCTCTGAGCACTTGTCTGCCTCTACCTAATAGACACAAGCATTACCTGTTAGTAAGTTTAAAAGGATCATAATTTTATTAAGATCCCCAAATCATGATCCCCTAATTTCCTTGCAATCAGGAAGTTCAAATAAAGATCAGGGTTTCCCTCCAAAGACATTTCTGGAATTAACATGCATGACCCAAATGTCTCCCTAAGCCAGATGGTATGCTGATAAGTGTTTAACAATGATTATTCAGTAATAAGGCAGGAAAATGGTTAGCAATGGCTGGTGAAATTATAGGTGATTTTTAGACTTTTTCTTCACTTTCCAAATTTCCTGCAATAAACACATTTTACTCTGAAAAAGGGAGGGCAGCTACTTTAGTGGCAAATTTGACCTTAACTGATATGAGGCTAATTGTAGTTTTTTAAATTTTTCATGATGCAAATATTCATATGATTTTATTCAAAAAGAAATTAATATTTTGGATTATCGTGAGCTGCCCCAGAAGCTGTTGGGGTATTAAGTAACTTATGGCAAATGCACCAGTTTGACTTCAAAATCTGAAGCATTCTGAAGTCTTATATAATTTTTTTAGAAGGAGATGCCACAGAAAAGTTGGTCAGACCACTAGTGATAAAGCTCTTTCATTTTTATAATGGCCCATTCTTTCCCAGGATTCCAAAGTACTGGAAAAGCCGGTATGGATAGAGGAGACACCAGCAGGCAATACTCACAGCCACTCTCCTATCTCCTTTAGAACTCTGCTGAGACTGCCTCATTCTGCTCCACTTGTGGGTATTAGCTCTCCAAGGCTATACTTTCTTTGTGCAGTCCAGTTTCCTTTGGGTGTCCTTTAAACATGTCTACATAATATGAAGCCTAATTGTGGACAAGGTTCGTTCAAAGTTCTTTTTCATGGCATGCATGAGGCCCATAAAAATTAGAGGATAAGCAGACACCTATTTAAATGCGCCCAGGCATTTTGTTACACTTAAAGAAGCTCATGGGAGAGATTTGGGGAAGTGGTATTCAACTCCACAAGTTGCTATATCCAAGTGCCAGTTCCAGCATAGTCCCAGTTCCACACCTACTCCACTTGTAACTGATCTTTTCCTTGGTTGCTAGAAAGCTGAGAGTCATATTTGTGGCCTATCTCTAGCAAACCAATAGGACCTTACACCATGCATTTTGCATATAAAACTGCTGGCTTAATCTTATCTTTCCCACTCACAGTTTTCTTTCATCCTACTTTTCTCTGTACTTATTTTTAATTTACCCCGCTATACAAATTTATGTAAGCTACGCTAAATCCCTTCTTCTGGAATGAAGTAGAGTATAAATAAATGTACTTTAACAAAACAAGAAAGAGTGATGACGATATATTTCTTCACCCCTGAAAGCCCCAAAACGAACTGGCATTAATCTGTGAACACTACAGACTATTGCCAGTTCATACCTACAGATTACTCCAGACAGGACCACCATTATAGCTTGTTGCCTGTTCTATGTTCACCATTAATGCATAAGCTAAATGGTGAAATGGAGAGAAAATCAGAAAAAAAATAGGCATTAGGAAATCCTAGCTGTATAAGTCATCTGGATATTATAAAGCACTTGGTTGGACAATGCTTTTTTTTCCTTCTCCAAAAACCTATGGTTTCTACTCTGCAAGCTTGTGCCATAGCACATGTATATTAAACATCTCAGCTCACACACACTGAGAGGGAGTATATCACAATTGTTAAGAGCGCAGATGCATGGGTCTGGCACTAGATGCATGGGTTTGAACCCTACCTCTGCTGCTTGCTTATTGTGTGATTTAGGGCTAGGTATTTAACCATTCTGCACCGCGATTAATCCCATCTACAAAATAGAGATAATAACAGTACCTATCTCGTAGGGCTGTTGTAAGGATTAAATGAGGTAACATGTATATAACATTTAAAACAGTGCCAGAGCACATACAAGGACCTCAATAAATGTTAGCCATTATTAGTGACATGTGAGTGCTGGGGGGAGCACTGCCTTGGACTTCAGGCGGCAGCATGTCTGGGTTTCTGGAAAAATACCTGTGGAACAGGCAAGGTCTGACCACTCCCTAAAACAGGCCAAAACCTCTGACTTGCCAAGATCTTTGCGGTGGCTACTCTTCTTTCTGTCTTTCTAGAGGCAGTATGGTGTTGTGGAAATACTTGGTGGGTGTGTGGGCACAAAGCTGAATGTGTTTTTATTCCCTAGGAGCTGACTAGAGTGTGGGAGATAAATGCATAAACAATTACTAGGTAGGATGATTAAGCAACATACTGGAAGTATGAACAAAAAAGCACTGTGGAAAAATAGTACCCACAAAGTGGATGGAGATGTAAGATATGTGACAGTGCTAGAGAAAAGGCCAACAGCGGTACCCATATAAGATTGTATTATTGCTGACTCTTGCAGGACGCACTACACACTTCTTTCATTTGGAATGCCTGCAGAACTAACCTTGGGGAATGACAGTGTATAAAACCCCTTATTCACTGTGTCGAACTTTTTCAGCACGCTTCCCACACGCACAAACTGGGGATTCAAACACAGGTAACTGCAGTACGCGTTTCTGAATTAACAGATACACAAGAAATTGCTTGCAAAACCAGGGAATGGAGAAAAGAAAAGGAAAGCGAGGCACGAAGGGCGCAGCTACAGCATATCCTAAGCGTCCGAGACTCCGAGCGCAGAGGAGGGGAACGTCAGCCCTGCCTACGCAAAGCCCGCGAACTCCCGGCGCCTGCGCCACCCCGGCGATTCGGCGCAGTGGACGCGGACAGGGAGAGAGGGCGGCGCACCTGCGCGGAGGCTGCCGCGGCGGGCGAAGCCTGTCCAGTGCGCTTGCGCCAAGGCCCGGGCGGCTGGGGAGCCGCGCGCGCGGGCACGCGGTGCGCCTGCGCAGAGTTGCGTGGCGCGGCGGAGGGCAGGGGCCGTGTAGAGTGAGCGGCGCTGCGGGTGGGGCCGTCGGCGGCGCTGGTGAGCCTTGCGGAACTGGGCGGTGCCGAGGAGGAGGAGGTGGCGGCCTGGGTCTGACGCGGCCCGGTTCGTGGGGGCCCGGCTTGTTTATTTATTTATTTATCGTGGGTCCCTGCGAGTGTGTGCGCGCTCTCGCCGCTCGGCTGGGAGGGGGTGGGGGGAGGGCCCGGCAGCAGGGGGAGTTGGAGCCGGGGTCGAAACGCCGCGTGACTTGTAGGTGAGAGAACGCCGAGCCGTCGCCGCAGCCTCCGCCGCCGAGAAGCCCTTGTTCCCGCTGCCGGGAGGAGAGTCTGTGCCGACAAGATGGCGGACGGGGAGCTGAACGTGGACAGTCTCATCACCCGCCTGCTGGAGGGTGAGTGCGGGCCCGGGGCGGGGCGCCTCCTCCATCCCCTCGCCTGCCCGTCCGCGGCCAAAACCCGAGGGGACCCCTCTCCCTACCCGAGGCAAGTCTTCGGGAGCGCGGCGGGGCGGACGAGCCGAGGAGGGGGCGAGGAGGCTGCTCGGCGCGGAGGAGCGGCCTCCGGGAGCGCGGTCGGGGGAGGCCGGCGAGAAGGGCCGTCCCCGAGGACCCTCGGGGAGCGACGCGCGCCGGCCTGGGGCTGAGAAGAGCCCATCTTTGGGGGACAGCATTTCAGAATGCTGAAAGGCTCCCCTCGCCGTCGTGCTCGCCGCCGGTGACCCTTCGTAGGAGGGTACGAGGATGCCTGCCACTGGGCATTGTATGGCCGTGGAATGTGTTTCTTCTCTGTTCTCTTTGTGCATTGCCCTTGGCTGCCTCTGCTTGTTGTTCCGAGGGTAGGTTTTATAAATTAAAAAGAACAAAAAATCCTTGTCTTTAATAGGACTGTTTCATTTGTTCTGCATTCTTACACGATGCTACAGAATGGACTCTTAAAGAGAGGATAAAATTAGCGGGAATTTACCTACTATTGCTTGGCGTAAAAAATCTTTGATCGAGCCGAAGATGCGTGTAAGAAATATGCGATGCGTAGATAGGTTTGCTGAAGGGATTGGCTTTTGGGTTTGAAATTTTAACAGGTTTGACAGAGCTTAATTTCTGCACAAACTTAGCAAAGGTTTTAAAAAAAAAAAAAAAAAAACACCTCTCGTGTTTAAAGATATTTACAAGTCTTTGTAGCGTTTGAAGTTTCCAGCCCTGGTGTTTTAATTGGAGTTTTATGTTTGGGGGGGAAGGGGAGAAGTGGGACAGGGCCAAGCGTTAAATGTATTGATTCATTGGAGGATATTATTCAAAGTTAAATGCAGTCTTCTGCCAGAGAGTCTCTTTACCCTAAAATTTACGTCATCACTTATTGTTTTGTGAGCGTGTAGAAAAGCATTTAGGCCTTTTTGAACAGTTTAGAGTTTTCTTTGTCAGACACGGTCGAAGGATTGTATATGTGCTGCTGCTACTTGTTTTCAAATTACCTGAAGATAATCGTTTACTACAGTGAAGCAGTATGTACTTATATTTGGAAAATTACCAAAGAAGGTAATATGGTGGTGGGGGGAAAGGGGCTAGTTGCTTTTTTCAACGAAAATGTAGGTATCTAAAACATCAGTTCTGTGTGTACCCATTCTGTAACTAAATACCGTTTATTTGCTCCAGATGTGAAAGGTTTCCAGCAGTCTTACGACTGAATAGGAAGAAAGTTTTACCAGGAACTTTTATTTACCTTTTCTTTTACTATCAAGTTATACCTGGGAGGCCCCCTGGTGCCTGCAGTGTTCACTGCTTAAGACTTTGCGTGTCTTTAACAGATGGATATCTTGCTGGGTCTGTGAGAAATTTGCTTTGAAAAAAAGTATATTTTCTAACTGTGCATTTCTCTATGAGGGAAATATAGTTATTTTGTAAATGTTTATTTCTGGTTAACATTTGGGAAAATTTAGGCCTACCACCATTTTTACGTATTTTAAACTTGTAAATTTAAATATTTAAAAAATCTGGTTTGTACCTCACCCTCTTCATATTTTATTTTCCAGATATTTGTATACTTTATAGGCATAAAGACATTTTATGTCTTTTTAAATGTTTGATCTGTAACCTTTTAAGTCAGACACACCTTTATATAATGACAGATACTTAAGAAACTTCTCCAGTGGGTTCAAAGTTATTGGAAGAAAAGAGGGGGGGGGGGATGGTGTAAGTGATTCTATTGTGTGTGTGTGAATTCAAATTAAATACTTGGTTTTGGACAATCTTTTTTCATATTTTTTGGTGAGGATTCTAGTCCAAACACATTTCCCTCTTTTAATTTAGCAAGTGTTTATTGACCTCCTCTGTGTCAGGCACCAAGAATCCAAAGATAAGACACAGTCTCTTCACTCAAGGAGCTCCCAGACTAAACAAGTGATTTTCAGGCTCTTTCCAGTCTCCTCTCTGTTCCTGTTTTCAACACTCTTAGTAGAAAGTTTTAGTACTTCAGTCTTCAAAGAAAAATTTTGTCTGCCTTGATTTTCAATGATGTTACATTCTAATTTCACTCAAAGTCAAGTGATGGTATTTTTAAAAGATGCCTAGCAGAATAGCTATGGTTAGTTTTTTTCCTTAGTGTTAAATGAGAGTGCAAGTGAAAATTTCTCTACATTAGGGGAAAACATTCCACAGCGCCTGATCTCATTTTAAAATGCTGATTGTAGTCCCACAACATAGTCCAGGTTCTTTTTTCTTTTGTACTAAATCAAATTGCCAATCTTCTCTATATACTTTTAGTAAATGCGTTTTATGAGTTGCTTTGTGATTTTCTGTTTTAAGTAGACATATTATTGATGTAGTATTTTCAAAGAGCCTTTAGGACATTTTAATTCATTTGTGCTATTTAATGTAAAACAAAAACACCGACTGTGTTATTTGAATGGTGCATATGACTCTACTGTATTTTCTTGGATTAAGTTTTACTCAGAACTAAAACCCAAAGACTGCTACCACTTCATCCCCTGTAGTGACCCTGTTGGCCACATTCTTGTGGCTAATCATAGTGCTCTTGACTGATTATTTAAATTGAAGCTAGTTTGTATGGGTATCCTGGAAGATTCAGTAAAAGCTTTTTACTTAGATCAGTATTTCTCAAAGGATTTAGGATGGGAGTGGGAGTATAGCAAAATTACCTGGGGAACTTTGTTCAGACTATGAATGCTGAGTTTATTTGGGGAGAAGTAAAATGGAATGAGTAGAATCAGATGTGGTTGGGAGGATGCTAGTATGGAAAACTGCTGCTGGGTGATTAAGATAGTGCCAGCTCTGTGTTCCCAGCCACTGTCTTGATCCACGTATTTAAAAATTAGGTTGTACCTGTTGATGTAATGTCTATTATATGTCATATATTTGATAATACATATGAAACTGTTTAGGATTTGTTTTTTTCTGGTTATAAAAGTAAGGCATACTTATTGTAGAAAACTTGTGAAATAGAGAAGTATAAAAGAAAAAAAAAGCCCCCCATAATTCCACAGTCCAGGGAAAATCCTTTTTGAAATTTTGATATATTTTTGTGTTCAGGTACTTTATATCATTAGAATATTCTTTTGATAGCTTTATGAGTTAATTTTTCATATAGCTTTACTTCATGTACATTTTTCACTGTCATTGAAATGTCTTCAGAAATACCTCAAAAGCTATTTACTGTGTGTTAGAATGATTTTCTAAGTGTTTTTTTTTTTTAACACATTGCCACAAAGCTGAGCTTGACAATTATAACAAGTCGTAGAATATTAGCACTATGTAATCTTCCATGGGAGAATGTGATTATATTTCTATTTTTGGCATACTTATAGCTTTATGGAAATCTTTGGATGTGTTTGTTCTTTTTGTTTTTAATTCATTTTTCACTTGACCTGTCAGATGTCTGAATTTGCAGCTTTGCTGTGATCATTTAATGTATATATGCCTTTCCTTTCTTAGGAAACATTTAAGCCGACAGACTAAGCAAATAAGTTTTACTCTTAAGTGTCCTTTTGAAGGTTAAAAAAGGAATGGATTTGAAAAATGAAATAGACTGATGAAAATACATTGAAGCTCACCTTTTTAAAATGACAGATTTATTGAGATATAGTTTACATGCTGTGCAGTTCACCTATTTGAAGTGTATAAATTATTTCTAGTATATCCACAGAATTGTGCAGTCATCACCATCGTCAACTTTTCAAACATTTTTTCACACATGCACAAAAAACCCTGTTCCCCTAAACAGACACTGCCATTTCCTTTCATCCCAACCACTCTCCTCCCAGCCCTAGGCAACTACTAATCTATTAGTACTTTTTGTTTCTGTGAATTTGCCCATTTGGACATTCATATAAATGAAATACTCCCACGTGGTCTTTGGTGACTGGTTTCTTTTAATGTTTGTAAGGTTCATCCGCGTTGTAGCATGTATCAGTACTTTATTTCTTTTATAGCTGAATAATATTCCATTGTATGGATATACCACATTTTTAGTCCATTCATCAGTTGCTGAACAGTTGAGTTGTTTTCCCTTTTTGGCTACTGTGAATACCTCTAATGCTTCCATCAACATTTGAGTACAAGTTTTTGTGTGGACATACGTTCTCAGTTCCCTTGGGGTGTATAGCTAGGAGTGAAGTTGCTAGGTCATAAGGTAACCAGTGTTTCACCTTTTGAGGAACTGCCAGATTGTTTAAGGCTTCTTTACCAATTAAATTGTTTGATTCTGACCCAGCAGTCTAAAGGTTAGGCAATTGAAAGGAAGTGCTAGTTCTGACAACCTCAGCTTCCACAGGGAAAGTGTTTTATATAGATCCAAGGCCAAACCTTTAGAAAAAAGCATGTGGGGAGTGAGAGAGATCACCTGAAGGATCTTTTATCTCTTCTCATGATTATTTTATCTCTTCTCATGATTCTTCTGGATGAGAGACTAGAGAGTAAAGGTGGTGGCATCTCTTTCAACTGATTGAGAGATTATGTGTGTTTTTTTCTCATAATAGTTTCAGCAAGTTAGGGAAACTGACAGTTTGAAGAAGTATCCCAGAGGAGTTATTTTGCTATTTGAATATAGAGCTAGAGCTTTTCTGGTGAACGTCTAAGATAAGGATTCATTGAAATTTAGGAATCTATTCAAATTTAGACTAGAGAAAGGATTATGTTAAGATATAGGATTAGTGAGGAAGATAGTAAATTAAGTAGGTTTTTTTCTCTCTTATTCTCCACATTTATCATTTAACAGAGTATGCATTCCAGTGGCATTCATTTTCAAACAATTCTCACTGAGGTAAAATACTGCAGGTACATAGAAACTCTAAGATATTTAGAAATATTAAGTAAAATTCTGTTCTGTTGTTTCTGAAGCAAGGGTTATCCTCAAGTCTTGGGTTATAGAGAGGCAAGGGGAA